TTTGAAAAAATATAAGCCTATACTTCAAGAGATAAAAATAAAATAGTAAAAGAACAAACTAAAATAACCATAGAAATGCCAAAATGGAAATTTTTATTAATTTCTGCCAAAATGGCAATTGTTGTCGAAAGCGATTACAGAAGATGGTTACAAAAGAGAATCAAAAAGAAAGAGAATTCTTAAGTCGAAGATACTTGGCATGCTGCAAATCCAACCTCTTCTTGCACCAAGATTTTTCTTGCTCCAGTTTGGCAATTTGAGCGTCGAGGCTTTGGGCCCTCTCAGCGAACTCCAGGCCTTGCTTGATCTCAGTCTGGCTCTCAGCGTCTGGGATGGTCGAAAGAATTTCCTCCTGGAGCACAGTGTTGGCGTTTATCTTCGCCTCTATCTCTGCAATTTGTGCTCGGAAGGAGACATTCTCTCGCTCAATAGCGTCGAACCTTTCCTGTGCAGACGCTTTCTGTTTCGACAACTCGGCAATTCGAGAAGTCGAACTTGAGACAGCAGTCCACGCAGATAGGCTCTTGCCATGCAACGTTTCGAGCTGACTGTTAAAAGTTCGTTGGCGCCGGTAATCCGCTGAGACTTGGTCAATCATAGAATGTAATTCCATGATTAAGTCTGAGATTTCTGGGGCTACAGCATCGAAATCAACAGCATTCAAAACCTCTTTCAAGCAAGATGGAGCAGTGGGGTCCCCCTCTAAAGCCTTCATTAGATCTCTCTTGAAGAACTGGGCCTTGACCTTCGCCAACGCATCATCAAGAGGAGAAGTCTCAGTAGATTTCCCCGACAGAGTAGGAATTTCCTGACTGGTGTCGGAAGAACTCTTACTCTCGACGATTGCATTGAGGTAGCTGACAGGGTCAGTTTGTTTCAAGATTTCCAAGTCTTCTTTCGACCTATGCTTTGAGGAGGTGACCCTTGCCACCGTATTATCTTGGACTGGAGGCTGCTGAATGCTGAGTGCCTCGTTTGGTTGCTCTTCGACTTGAACTGAGGCGGTACTAGCGTCGACTCGTGGTTCTTCGTTAACTTCACCTTGGGGTCTTTCGCCAGCGTCATTCTGTGGTTCTTCGCTGGCGTCATCCTGGTGTTCTTCGCCAGTACCACCTTCATGCTCTTCGTCAACAGCATCTTGATTCTCTTCGCCATTGCCTTGGTCTCTTCCTTCAGGATTCTCTTCTGACGACAAGACCACCACAGGAACCTTTTCTGGCTGTGTTTCCTCCGCCATAGGTTCTTCAGTTGTCTTCTCCACTGTTTCAGCATTGGCCTCATGCTCAGTGTGGGCTTCGTCATTGCCCAAATCTTGCACCTGAGGCCTGCTAAGGTCAGCAGATTCCAGAGTTTCTGAAGTCCTTGGTGGGGAACTCCCAGTAGTGTCCTGAAAAGAGGAAGAAGACAAATCTTCAGATGTTCGAAAGAGACATAATCAAATACTGGTATCTATGCCTAAGTTATAAGAAGGGTCCAATAGATTACCTGTGGATTGGCTTCAGCCCCAGGGCTGGAATTATCACTTTCGACAGGCTTGTTAACTAGAGCGTTCAGTTCCTCCTCAGTTGGTTCTTCGATGACCACTGCAGGTGGCCTAGGCTTCCTCACACCAACTTTTATTCTGACGGTTCGACCTTCAGGGGCTGGAGTAGGAACAGAAGCGTCCTTCGTTAACTTTCTCCTCTTTAAGGGAGTAGGAGGGGTATCACTGTCGTCGTCACTCCCCGATTCGACCACCAATGTTGCCCTTTTCTTGGGCGAAGGGGCCTGGAAAACCAATAGGAATTCGATTGAATAATTACGTCGAAAATAAATAATCGAAAGCCAGAATGAAAATAAAGAAAAATCTGGTTACCGATGCAGGAGGCCTCCTCGAAGAGCCTTCCCCCTGTTGGTTGCCCGTTGTCTTCGCCGGCGCTATAGTCTTCGCCGGCGGTGGAGGTTTGGTCGAAGGGACTCTTCCTTGTGGGCCTTCTGTAGCCTTCTTGGCTAGGGGTTTTCGAACAACTGAAAGCGACAAGGGAAAGTTAACAGGCTAACAGTCGAAGAGAAAGATAAAAAGTAATGTGAGAGTATGAACTTACATTTCTTTACTTTGTCAAATACAAGGACAAAAGACTTCTGCAACTCTGCTATGAAGTCCTTCTCGTCGAAGAAGTACTCAGCGTAATAGCTTCTCCACCATTCTTCAAAAGATGGCGAACAAAGGAAGTTAAGCTGGTAGTTGAACAGCGAGAGGATGGTTCGACCAGCATATCTTCCGATATGCCTGGTAGCAGCGTCTTCTGTATAATCGTTGCAGAAGTACAACATTGACTTCTCTCTTGGGAAAATGGGAGAAGGCAGGGTTTGGATAATACCAAACTGGCGAGACACCAGATTGGGTTGATAGGCAAGCAGACTCAGATGAGTCTTAGAACTCTTAAATCGAAGAGGCATAATCCTTGGGGTAAGGAATGCCTCCCACAGTATGGTGTGCTCATCAACATTGGGACCACTCGACTCCTTGGGATGTGGCCTTGTGAACCAAGCTGGCCCCACCTTTCGCTGAGCGAATGGAGCCATAGTCGAAACAAATTCCTTCCTTCGAGCGAACATCAGCACGAAGTTAGTGAAGGTTTGTTGGAACTCTAGCCCATCTTCCACAGGCGTCAGTAGAGCCAGCCTAATTCCTTCGATCCGTCTATTGGCTATCGCTGGGGCTTGTTCATTTATCTGAATCTTCTTGGGTAAGAAAGATTCGAAAGTGGCGTTGAGCCACAGTTGAAGTAGCCAGAAAGGCCCAGCGAGTAACAAACTGTTCCTATCTTCGATATGCTTCAAAAGAGTAACCCCATTGCTGATGGAGTCATAAAGACTGGCCAGAATTAGTTCTGCCAAACAGATGTTCTGGCGGTGATGCAGTTGGGTGGCCAGAGTGACCATCTTTTTGGTCACTTGCAGAGACTTCGAACAGAACACGAAGCGAGTTAGCCATAAGGCTAGAAACGCTATGTGTTCAACGTCTGACACTGCGTCTGTCGACTGGTCATGAAAATGGTTGATAAAGGTGGTGAATGTTGGCTTCGTCTCAGAAAAGCCAATTTGGTCCTCCGACATCTCTTCCGGGTCGAAGTAATCTCCGGTTGGTCGAAGGCCAGTGATGGCTGCTACGTCGAAGAGTGTGGGGGTTAACATCCCACATGGAAGGTGAAAGGTGAAGTGAGAGTTATCCCAGAACAGCATCGAAGCTATAAGCATCTCTGGGGAGTAGTTTAAACCTGTCTTCGACAGCATTATTAGGTCAAAGATGCCCATTTCCTTCCAGACTGGAGTTTGATGTTTTTCCAGCTTTGTTAACCAAGCAACATAGTCCTGGGTGAGATTAGGGCAGGACCTGAAGACTCTAACGCTTCTGTTGAAGAAACGAAGGTCGATCTTCTCGTGTGTGGGGTCTTCGTTATCTTCTGCATCCTTCTTAGCACAAGCTACTGGCTTGAGTTTCTCGACGATGGGGAAGTAGCTCTTGATCTTTAGAGCTTCAGAAATGCTTGGGTGCATGGGTCCAGCCATGGCGAAGATTTGGTTGGAGTATCCAACCGGAATCATCAAGTGACGCGAGTAAGCGTCACGAACGGAGATGTCAGATGGTTCGGGGACCCTTCGTTTCCCTGTAGCGTTCACTACCGGAGCAGTTACAAAGACCTTGGGCTTAGCAAGTTGTTCAGTTGGTGCGTTAGTCTTGGGGGCAGTTGAAGCAGAAGCCATTGTTGAGGATGAAGATGAAGTTGGAAAAGGAAGAGTTTTTCTGCAAAGAGAACAAGTTTGCAAGAAAGCAAGGGAGTTTGAGAGATAGTTTGCGTGAAAAGTCCCACAATGGGATATTCACTACTATTTATAGTAGTGGGAGAAATTCCCAATAACGAGGGCATTAAATGTCATTTAATGCTGCAGGAATTAGTGGGACGCGTGGCAGCATCCTGTTGTTTTGGCCGTTTCTGCAGAAACAGAGAGACGCAGCGTGCGTCCTCGTTTTTTGGATTTGTCATAATGACAAATTATGAAGTGATGTTTTGGTACTGCACGCCGTACTGACAGTGACGTCCTAGGATCAAATCAATGATGGTTTCTTGGGATTGCCAAGAGTTGGTAAAAAAGCAACAAAAAGTGCACAAGTTAACTTGTGACTAAGCGTGGAAAAACAGGTGTCGAATGGCGTTTTCAAAGAATGCCTTTTTCTTTCAGAGTCGAAATAAGGCATTCTTGGGGGGCAATTTGTTGGCTCCTAAATTCGACACCTTTGTTTTGATTGATGACAGCCATTAAAAGCTGAAAGATGCTTTCGACTGGCTAAGCTTGTCGAAGTACCCGTCGAAAGATGGAAAAATAACTTAGAAGATTTCTTCCAAGGAGGAAGGCTCATTGCCTTCGACGTCGAAAGAGTTTTCGTCGAAGACGTCTCTTGACGAACGTGTTCGATGGTCCAGAGTGGAGCAGTTTGAAATTCAAAGCTTTGGAGGGAAAACGGTTTCCAGCAGTTACTACGTGCGAACGTGCAAGGATCTGGAGCGTCGAGCATGGAGAACGTGACAAGTGGCTTGATCTCGAAGCAGTGTAACTGCCCGACGGTTACTTGGAATGTTTTTGTATAAATAGGAGTAGACGTGTAGTTTCTCGCGTGTGTTCACAATAGATACATAGTCACTCATTTAGATTCAAGTACCCAGTGTGAGCGAACGAATTGTTGAGAAATGTATGTGTGAAACACCAATTTAATCAATTCAAGTCATTTACTTTTCCAGTATTTTACATGCTTTTTCCCTTTAAGATTCCTGTCGAACCTTTACATTCAAGCCTTGTTTATTTTACCAAGCCTTTCCTTTATGCAATTTACTTTAAACAATTTACTCAAAGCCTTATCCACATTAATTAAACTTCAAAATCAACCTATGTCCATAGGATCAATCTGATCGATCCTGCGAGTAACCAAATAAGTAACCATTTGTAGGATCAGCGGTTGTTTACCAAATCCCAAGGTAAACAGAGGGACTCAAACATGAAACACATTGTAAAAGTTCAGTATTCTCTTCATCAAACCTAGCATTGAGCTCATGCAACTGCAAATCTAAAACACTACATAAACAATCATGCTTATAATGATGCAAATTAAAAACACTAGAAGTGATAGCATGTCGTCTAGGTTTCTTCCCTTGCACGTACGCTGCATCCAAATCAGGCACATCAATATCATGCTTATTGCAAATTTCCATAACCTTAGATATAAGTTCTTCCCATCCATCATTTCTCATTTCTTGTAATTCCTGTTTGGTGGCTTTGACAAGTGATAAAGCATTCAAAAGATCTTGATCACGCTTTTGTAGCACTACACTTAAATCATTTGTAAATCCTAAAATCTCAACCATCATGTATAACATGAAAATAAAATCAAAGGACTGAAGCACATCTAGCAAAAGCATAGTTTCACCATATTTTTCAAATGACGTATCTTTCCCGACTTCTTCAAGTACCTCAATAATGGCACCATATAAAGTCATCAAACTAGTGAGAGTCCTAAAGTGGGAACCCCAACGAGTGTCACCCGCTCTAGCAATAGACGATTCTTGATTTAATCCACTACCAGTCTCTATCTCACCCTCTTCAATCAATTTAGCAAATTGAGATACTTGTTTGTCCCGAAGCAATTCTTGTCTCTTGTTAGAAGACCGTATGAAATTAACAAGCATATTGACCTTACCGAAAAAACCACTAACATCTTTGTGAGTCTTAGCACATGCAACAAGTGCTAATTGAAGTTGATGGGCAAAACAATGCACATAATAAGCTGATGGATTTTCATTTTGAATTAAAGTTCTCAAACCACCAAACTTACCTCGCATATTGCTAGCTCCATCATATCCTTGCCCCCTTATGCTAGATAAACTCAAGCCATTAATAGACAACAACTTCTCAAGTGCCTCCTTAAGTGACTTAGCACTTGTTTCTTTAACACTAACAATCCCAAGAAACCTTTCTTTTACCAAACCATCACTATTAACATAGCGAATAACAACAGCCATTTGTTCTTTACCAGCAACGTCACCGGATTCATCAATCAAAACACAAAACACATCATCCGCAATATCACATACAATTTGTTTAGTTATTTCACATGCACAAGCAGCAGCAAGATCCTTTTGAATCTTAGGGGCAGTCATAAAGTTATTTCCTGGAGCACAATTTATTACCTTAGCTATCTCTGGGTTAATTTCCTTTAGAGTGTCCACCAACTCAAGAAATGGCCCCTTAAATAAAGAGTTAAAGGACTCGTCACTCCCTCTAAATGGCATGCCACACCTCAAAAGAAACTTAGTAGCTATAAGAGATGTGTTTACACGAACACGATATTCAGAATTCATTTGTTTAGTTTGATTAACAAATGCAACCTTAATACTTTGGTTTGGGTTCATGAGAGCGTAACTCATATGCACACAATCAATATGACTATTGGAAGAAGTTTCATGATTAGCCAATCTGTGAGAATTCTTCCAATCACCAAACCCCTCTGTCACAAAGTGATCTCCCCCGTATTTAGAGACATTCTTAAACAAAAAACATGGCAAGCAAAATGCCAGGTCCTTAGATTCACTATAATCAATCCAATCATACAAATCAAACCAATTTTTGTAAAATCTACGTCTTTGATTACCTTGAACAGACCAAGGGTAAACAAAATTGTAAGGAGGTTTATGACGACCTATTTTTAAATAAGCTTTCCTTACCTCATTTTGGATGTCAGGATGATAGCTTGAAATTGGAGGCCTAATTCCTGAATCGGTTTCCAACAATTCATAATCGACAACTTTAATACTCTCACTTGGATGTTGAGTTTCCGATGCTTCTAGATTTACCGAAGAAGTAGCTTTGTCTCTAGAAAGCACAGGAAAAAATTTCTTCATCCTATAAAGAGAACAATGAAACCATTAAAATTAGCTATTCACTCTATAAAGAAAATAATAAGAACAATTTATTGTAAAGAAAATATTTATGAGAAATTGAAAATTTACTTTTTTAAAACAAATTGGGGTTTTAGGGTTCAACTCAAATAGAACAAAAGAATAAGAAAATTTTGAAGTAGTTAGTTTACCTTTGATTTTCAATCACCCATAAACAATGCAAAATGGTGGGGTTATTGGATTAATGAGAGAAAGAGACAAATATGGAAGTTGGTGGGGTTTGAGAAGAAGAGAAAGGGTTTACTGTGTGAGAGAGAAAGAAATAAAAGAGAGAGAAAATTAAGAGATAAAAGTGAGTTGAAGAGTTATATAATATTAAATATTAAAATTAATTAATTAATTAAATATATATTAATATTAGAAGAAAAAAAAATTTGGTGTGGCTATAGCCACACCTAGCCTAAACATGGATCCGCCCATGATTGTAAGGCCTTGTGACATTTCCATTTCCATTCCAAATCAATTTGGCAAAATACTGGTTAGCCTTATCAGTAGGATGATGAGAGTCAAAGAACACATGTTCATTCACATTTTCACATAACTCATATTCTTTTATCTCTTTGTTCCCTCCACAACTGTCTTCTCCTCTATAAGGGCCACTTCCACAACATGCTCTACTTGCTTCTTTGAACCCTTTCCAAAGAAACAAACATAAATTAGCAATGATTACAATATACATGCTCACAAATAAAAATCACAATTAGTATTTAATATCTTATAAAACTAGGATATTTAATCATTATTAAAAAATAATTTAATAAAACTTGACCTACTTTGATGACATTTGTGAGGTTTCCAATTACAATATCAACAAATTGTTGATGATCAACAGGTAGAAGAACACCTGAGTTTGGCTCAAGAAGACTGCCACAATCATTGCTTCCAACACTAAACAAGTACAAAGATTTGAACATCAATTCCTCAGTTTTTTCATGTCCAAGTTTCTCTCTGAATGATTTCTTTACCTTTCTTAAATAACTCAACTGAGTCTTCAAGTCTATCACCTATATGTTAACGACCATAAATTTAGCATATATGTAAAATAAGAACCAATGGATTTTTTTTGGGTCAAGTAGCTTAGTAACTGGAATACACTTTTTAAAAGTGAATAATTGAGATGTCGTGCGTTCAAACTTGTGTCAATGTATCTGATATTCATATACAACTATTAATTGAATTGTTTTAACGGGACAATAACTAATGAATTTAAAGATGAACTTACACTTCCTTGAGATGTTTGAGAGAGTGCATCAGATCCACTTAAGCAAAATTAACTCCATAGATATATTCAGGGTGACCCGGATGCAAATATGGTGGAAGCAAAAGCAACCCGGTATATTCATCAGAGTTAGAGCAAACATCAAGATTCAAAAGAAGTTTAACTCACGTTATTGCAAGTCAATTTCTTACTAAACGAATCAACTTCAATTCGTGTTTAGAGGATAGTTTGAGTCTATATACTAGCACAACAAAATAAATACATGCTTACCAACAATATCTGGTATCATGCGTCCGTCGGAAAACCTACCGGAAGGATATTTGAAGAAAGTTTGTCCATAAGGAGGATAATTAGCTTGATAATATGTGGTTGTATTGATGTAATTGTTGTTTCCATTATCAAATAGAGAATCTCCAAATATGAATAGTGCAGCATGTCACGACCATGCTATTGCTAAATACTGTGGTTAATCAAGTATATATTTTTTTTTACAAATAATCATGTTTTGAAGAAAATTACACAAATAACTATGTTTCAGAAAACTCCACTATAGAGGCGCCAAGTGAGATGAAGCATGCACTCACCTTTTTGTCCTAGGCGTCATCTCACTTGGCGCATGAATTTTGTTTTAATCAAATGAGATGGCGCATGCACTTTAAAAATGAGATGAGGCGCCATCTGAGATGACTACTACGTGCAATTGTGTTTTCTATAAATAAAACACTCATTTTTCCATCATTCTTCACACTTTTTTACACTGTCTTATTATTTTTTTCTGTTACTTGCGTCATGACATCTCCCATGATTTTCATCAAAGATGGATACGTTATTTTCTCGATCATCAAATATCCGATGAAAATGAAATTTTGACATATTCACTCAATGGAGCGTCTGAAGAGAGAGTTGATGTGATGGCTAGAGGGAGACGTCGAGGCTGAGAAATAAATTAGAAGGATACAGAGAAGAAGAACAACCACGTTGCTTGCAATTGGAAGAACTCAATTTTGGTTTGAGGAAGTCAAAACAGACATAGACGTAACGGTGATGATGCATGACTCAGATAAAATTGTTTTGATAGTCGTAATTTCTTAGACGTTTTATCGTGTTTTTATTTGTTGTTTGCGTATGTTTTGTTGTAACAAATGCTCTTAATGAAAAAAAATATACGTTTAGAACTTAAAAAGTGCATATGGTTTTCATACAATTTTTATGTTGTCGAGCTTGTAGCCCGGCTTGGACAATTCTTTCGATTGTTCCGACTTGACAACATAAACCACATGCTCGACAGAACAAAGATAAATTCCCTTGGTCTTTGAAATGGTTAGTGTAATGAAACATGAATACCATGTTATGATGCATGATGTCATGATAAACCACGGGTATGGCAAACAAAAATATTTCAAACACAGTTAAATCACACAAAGCCCCTAGGTTTAAGGCTTGCATGGGGTCAAAGGTAATACCCTCTTGAAGTTAAGTTGGTTTCAAACCTGTCCTAGCAAAGTAACCGGGTTCTAGAGGATCTCAATATCAGTGACCATCCTCCATCGGTCATGGTTTCAGCTCACGCAATCTTTTCTTACAGCCGGAATTATTCCGAGAGTATGGTCTTAATGAGTGTAGCATCGAGTATCAACCAGTTCTCAGATCTACACCGAGGCCGGCTATCTCACTACTTTCTAATGGCCAAGTTGGGCAATTAAAGGTTCTAAGGTCAGTTGATGCTTAAAGGTTCCTCTACAAAACCCTAATTTAGCAACTTTTGGGTTTTGATGAATTGTGAGCAATCCTTGAGGAAACATCATCAACCCTTGATCAAATGATGAATAATACTTCAAAATGAGGATGTTGACCAAAAATATTGATGTTTGACTGTATGTGGGCCACAGTTGACTTTTGACCTAACACAGTTGATTTTCAGGCCTTTTGAGCAATTGACAGAGCAAACTTCCTCTGCAAGGCTTGAAACTTGACATGGATGATATTGAAAACATATTAGGACCTTGGAAGGCATTTGGGATCCTTTGGACTCAATCATCTTAATGAAAAATGAAACCCTAATTTGAGGTAGACTGCCTTAGGAGAGAGTTTGTCTGGTCAACTCTTGGACCTCCTTGAGCAGTTTGGGGACCTCTCTTGCCATGTGTTGAGAAATATGAGAGGGAAAATTTTTGGATACAACACCTAACCTCGTAAATTGTCTTCTTGGAGTTTCAAAATGTTGATGATTTGCAGATGGTCTTGGAGTAAGAGTTGGATTGGAGATTCGGACAACATTTGGATGATCATTCTTCTTGGTACGGGCCCTTGCCCTGTACACAAAATTGACTTTCTTTTTTGCAGCAAAAGGTTTCTTGATAGGATTGGAGGTGGAGGTAGATTCCACAGAGATCTTCCCACTTTTAATCCCGCTTTCAACTCTTTCACCGATTAAGATTAAATCGGTGAAACCAGAAGAAGAGCAACCAACCAACAAATTAAAGAAAGGACCAGATAAAGTACCCATGAACATGTCAATGTGCTCCCTATAAGTCAAGGGTGGTTGAACCCTACTGGCGAGGTCTCTCCACTTTTGCGCATATTCCTTGAATCCTTCATTCTTTCCCATGGTCATATCTTGTAATTGAACCCTCGTTGGTGCCAAGTCGGCGTTATACTGATACTGATGGTAGAAGGCGGTAGCTAAATCCTCCCAAGTATTGATATGGGATCCATCCAACTGATAAAACTATTCAAGTTGCTTTCCAGCCAAACTCTCTTGGAAAAAGTGAATCCAAAGCTTCTTATCAGCAGTGTGCGGCTGTATCTTGCGCACATAAGATTTTAGTTGGATTTTTGGACAAGAAACTCCATTGTATTTTGCAAAGATTGGTATTTTGAATTTGTGGGGAATGACTACCCCGTAGATCAAACCTAAATCGTCAAAATCTAAATCGGGGACGGCCTGGATTTCAACAGCTTTCAATCTGTCTTCTAATTGCTTATATTTGATATCGACGGGTGGATACTGCTCATTGAAATAATCATCATCAGATACTTGATCATTAACACAGTCAGCCTGAGTACTCTTGACCTCACCAATCTGGTTCTCGTCCTCTTCAGATGAATCTCCTCCTACTGGGATTTGACGGACTGTCTCCTTGAACCTTCTACCCATGTTGAGTAGAGCTTTCTTCTTTGGCTTCTTCTTAACGGCTAGCAAAGCCATCATATCTTGCTGCCCCTTGGCTAGGGCGAGTAGAGTTTCCTAGAACTGAGAATTTTGGGCTTGGAGATCCTTCACAGTTTTCTCTAGATCCATCTTGCTGAAATAAATAGCAGAAAGATAAGGAAACCTGTTATGCGTAAACCTGGCATGTTATGATGCATGGAATATGTACATGCAAATGATTTCAAGGATTAATGAGATTTAAATTTGTATAGACAAAATAATGAACAAACGTTAATTTTCATTAAACAAAACAAGAAAGATTACATCATGCCTCTTGGGCTTACAAAATAACTTTCTAAGATAAAAAGACTGAACGCATCTTCTTCGGTGCGAGATAGGCGTTCACACTTTGCTCTTCTTGTAGTTGTTTTGTAAGCTCCAAGGCCATCTTATCACTAGCATAGAATTGAGCTTCAAAAGTATCTTGTTCTTCCTTAAGCTGAATTCATCCTTTTTGCAAGTCTTCGAGAGAGGTAGGCATGTCGGGATGGAGGATAGTGTAGGGAACATCTC